CTTTCCTTATCCCTGACTGGACTTCCTGCAAGTCTCCTGGCGCCATTCATTCTGTGTCTCCTAAGCTATTCTGGTCCCACATAGCATGTTAGCTCATTTGTCAGGTCTAGACTCTAACGTTCGAGGTCACCTAGTAATTCCAGTATTATCTTCTTTACAGCAGCAAAAGGACAGTTCAGAGAATGACTCAAGTGGCTTGCCTGGCCCCCTGCCCCCACTCTCATTCTGTATTCCGAGGGCAGTGTTCCATGATTGTGAACCACTGCAGTGTTCCACAGAGACAACCCCCCCCCTCCAAATGGAGAGACTTAAAGGCCATTATCAGGGGTAAATACTGCCAAGTCCTATGGGTCAATTTACTAATTGGGATGATTAAGAAAATCAGGATCAAGAAATGGAAGTTAGACAGCAGTTACCAGCACTTTTAACACCCAACGGAAGGTAGCTGAGCTGAGTAAATCCTGACCTGCCGTGAAAGGGGAGAAGCATATGAACAGCAGAAATCTCAGGGAGGCCTCCAGGCTCACACAGGGAATGGCCTGTCCTCCACACAAGGAAAAAGAACAGCTGCAGCCAAGCACACTGCTTTATTTTTGTTGTGTGTGAAAGCATGACAGCCCCCGGTCCAGAGCCATGATCAAATTTATAGGCTTCGAGTTTGTTTTTTCACATATTGCATTCCTGAGGAATCATTTATAAAACCTGCTTTTTCTCTAGGCTGTCAACTTTCAGGAAAACTGAATTTCAAAAAAAAAGTCCTTTAACTTTTCCCAAGCAGAATCTTCTACAATCCAAACCTTCTTAAAATAAACACCCTGGCTTAGGATTTCTACTCCAGGATGACTTATGGAGATTGTGTACTCAAAGGATGTTTTGTAAGAGTAGAAACCTGCAGAGGGTGATGCTCAGAGCCTTTCAGATGTTTGTGTGTGTGTGTGTATAAATATTTGTCCTATTCTGTGCCCCTGTAATTAATACAGATTCAATTGTGTGATCGCCTTGGTACAAAACACCTTGGCCATTTTCCAGAACCATTCTTTTATGTAAGTACATTTAACCTTTCAGTAAGTTCCAAATAACTCTGATCACAAGATCGGGGCTCGTGTGTTTTCACAGCGCTGTTGGCTTCCTTCTGGTTTTAAGGTGCTCGTCTCATTGTTATGACCGGCCTTCCTCAACCTCTACCTTAAAGTGGAAGCGTTTCCTTTCTTCTCACTTTGAAGTGGGGATCCCAGGTTGTGTTTTGTAGGAGAGTGGGATGGGTCCCCACCCTTGTACCTGAACCCTTCTCCCCAAGCAAACTCCGCTTGAGACACCCCCAGGACCCATTCATGGTTGTTCGTTCCTCCCATACTGGTGAGAGCCACAGATGGATAAGGCAGAGCGGCTGTCCAGTTAATTTCTCATGGTCTTTTTATCGGTGAGGAAAGGCCGTCTTGGAGATGTTAAATAGCTTGTCCAAGTTCACTTAACTGCAACACTGACTCTCAGATCTCAGAACCCTTTTACTAGAGGAGAAAAACAAAGTCTAAGGAAACTGCTGTAACTCTCTGAGAAACACGTTGTTCTAATAAGTGAGATTTTGAATATTCTGAAGACAAACAGGACTGACCTGGTGCCTCTAAGAAGCCAGGTTTGACAACTGATTGAAAAACGCAGCTAACAGTTTAAAACAAATAAGAAAGAAGTCTTCTAGAGGCATGACCTGGGTCTACTGGATCTTGCATCCTAAACATTGCCTTGCTTATTGTCCACAGAGGAGAGAGGTGGGAGGCAGGAAAGAGAGAGGAGGACAGGCAGGGCAAAGAGGGATGCCGACAGGCTGCCCTCACCTTCCCATTGTGCGTTCCATGTGCTCTTGGTTTCTAGATTTTTGCTCAACCCTTGTGACTTCAATGTGTTTTGGATGCAGAAGCTTTCTGTGTATTTGGGGTACATTTTCTAGGAAAGATCTTACGACATGAGGTATGTAGAATAAGTCACAGATAGGAGGGCTAAACGCATAATGCTCTTTTGCAAACCTTATTTTTTTTTAAGATTTTATTTATTTGAGAGAGAGCGAGAGCACACAAGCAGGTGGAGTGGCAGAGGGAGAGGGAGAGGCAAGCTCTCTGCTGAGCAGGGAGCCCGACGCGGGGCTCGATCCCAGAACCCTGAGATCATGACCTGAGCCGAAGGAAGATGCTTAACCGAGCCACCCAGGCGCCCCACTCTTCGGCTAACTGTAGAGTTAACTACGTAAGAATAGCACGAAGTTGATGTTAGTGTAGGATGTTGATTTTGATATTGTCAAAACTACTTATCAGGGGACAGTACTTGGCTTTATTAACTAGGGCCACAGCTTGCACCAATCAGAATTATAATTTTGTCCCAGAGCATTTCAGATGCAAAATCCAAAGCCCCTGTTGCAGCAGCAAACACATTCAGGAGGCACCGGAAGTCTTACAAATTTAAATAATGATATAATGTGACACCGTCCTCCCTCCAAAACACAGCACTTGCTCTGGAGGAGTAAATAACACTTGATTGGCAAGATCGGACCTAAATAAATCAGAGCATTGGTAGTCCTTGGGAGCTTTCCCCTCTATTCATTGTTTAAGACTGACAAAGTAGAAGAGGCATTTTATTTACTTCCTCTTAATTACTACTAATAAAAAACACAGCAGGTCCAAAGGAGGAAAGTACATATACTTCCGTTCTCATTTGCTTCTGGGTCAGGGCTGAACTGCTTTGAGAACAGCGAGGGACAGCTTTGCTTAGCTTTATGGGCTTCCAGGCAGCGGCCTGAATAGTGGCTTCAGAATTATTACAACCTTTTCATCTGCTTCATCCTCAAATGAAGAGCTCTACAATTAATTTTGGATTTTGGATATCCGCCAATGACCTTAATCTCTATTGCCTGAGCTTTGATGAGTGGCTGTGGCACCCAGTGTACACAGTGCACCATACCTTGGTCATTAACTATTTCTGCCCCTGGTGCAGAAGTACCCAGGATGATTTGACTCTCTGTATAGTCTGGAGGTAACCTCCACTTGCACTGAAGGCTTTTGTCTTTGGAGCTAATTTCCCTTCCATTTCTAATGACTGCTTACTTAGTAAACTGATACACTGATGAGCTGATTTTAACAACCTTTATTTTAATCTTTAAATTTTTTATTGTTATGTTAATCACCATACATTACATCATTAGTTTTTGATGTAGTGTTCCATGATTCGTTGTTTGTGCATAACACCCAGTGCTCCACACAGAACGTGCCCTCTTTAATACTCATCACCAGGCTAACCCATCCCCCCACCCCCCTCCCCTCTAGAACCCTCAGTTTGTTTTTCAGAGTCCATCGTCTCTCATGGTTCGTCTCCCCCTCCGACTTACTCCCCTTCATTCTTCCCCTCCTGCTATCTTCTTCTTTTTTTCTTAACATGTATTGCATTATTTGTTTCAGAGGTACAGATCTGTGATTCAACGGTCTTGCACAATTCACAGCGCTCACCATAGCACATACCCTCCCCACTGTCTATCACCCAGCCACCCCATCCCTCCCACCCCCCACCACTCCAGCAACCCTCAGTTTCTTTCCTGAGATTGAGAATTCCTCATATCAGTGAGGTCATATGATACATGTCTTTCTCTGATTGACTTATTTCACTCAGCATAACACCCTCCAGTTCCATCCACGTCATTGCAAATGGCAAGATCTCATTCCTTTTGATGGCTGCATAATATTCCATTGTGTATATATACTTAACAACCTTTATTTTAGAGCTAGTGTTGCATGCTTTTTATGGGGGATAGAAATGTAGCAGAGAGAGTGAACCTGGTGCAGTGGGAAATACACAGGCTTTGGGACCCATCAGAAAACAAGATAATCAAAGAACCACCTGCGCCACTTTATTGTGGACGTGACCTGCAGCCTGTGACCTGAGCTCTCTGAGACTTAGTAAAATGATGGGAATAGCAGCCATCACACTGACCTCACAGCCTTAAGTGCCCGGAACGTCTTTGAAAATGGTGAAGTTCTAAACACATATTTGTTATTTCCAGATCCCACTGCCTTTTCCAAAGAAAGCTTTATTGAGATAAAACTCACATACTGTCCATTTCATCAGTTGAAGTGTACAAGTCAATGGTTTTTAGTATATTTACAGAGCTGTTCATCAATCGTTTCAGAATATCTCTATTAATCTCAAAAAAAACCTGCATACCCTTTAGCTACCACCTCCCTATCCTCCACCATTGCCTTCTTAATTTTTACTTTGCCTTTATTTACAGAGACTCTAGGACAATTTTTTAAATTACATTAAGTAAAAATAAGATGACTCGGGTGGCTCAGTCACTGGGCATCTGCCTTTGGCTCAGGTCATGATCCCAGGGTCCAGGGATCGAGCCCCAAGTTGAGCACCCTGCTCAGTGGGGAGCCTGCTTCTCCCTCTCCCACTCCCCCTGCTTGTGTTCTCTCTCTCACTATCTCTCTCTGTCAAATAAATACATAAAATCTTAAAAAAAAAATAAGATGACTCGTGCACGGCAGGATGAGGGATGGGGACCTAAGTGTTAACAAATGGTATTACTAGGAAGATTATAATTCTATTTGAAGAAGGAGAAAGCTGAGTCCTCATGCTTACCATGGAAGCCCTGCTGCCATGAGGCAGCTCACCGCGGTGGGGCAGACCTGGGGGAGGGCTGGGGAGGAAGCAGCGAGCTGATGCTGATGCACAGAAGGTGGATGGGGACTTGCCCCCTTACTCAGGAGCGTGGGGTTCCAAATCCAGGGAAATCCATGGTATCAGGAAGCTGCTTTTACTTTTCCCTAACTTTCCAAATAGGAGTTTGACTTCAGGCATCAGAGCAATGAAGGAAGGAGGGAGGAAGAGCCATTCCTGGACCCCTCTACTTCCTGTATAACCCGAATGTTAAGTGGAGGTGTTGAGGTAGGGTCACAGTCTGTATATGGTGTCGACTGGAAAAAAGGAACTCAATACTGGCCTCCTCTTTGTTCCAGGTCGCCAGATCCCACCCTTGGACCCTCATGAAAATGGAAACAATGGAGCAATCAAACTTGGGAAGCAAGCCACGCAAGCCAGCCGGCGGTGCTGCTGACCCGTGGGCCATGGTCCGCTGTACTTGAAGAAGCCAGAGCCAACCTCCCATTCTTGGCAGCCTGGCAACCCCGCATAGGGAGAAGAGAGATGCTGGCTTGGCATCCTGGAAGACCTGAAGCGATGGGGCAGGAAATGTCCCTGGAAAAGGCTTTTAGAAAACTCCAGAAAAATCCGCCATACTATCACAAAATGGCCTTTGGTGTATGAAATGCACATGAGAGGAAACAGATGTTAGGTAATAAGTACAGTTGAGTTTTTTGTTGTTGTTAAAAACCCTAAAATATTCTTCAATTTGTACAGCCGTCTCACTGGCTTATCTGTGTGTGAGATTCTGAGGTGGCCTTCCCTTCTGACTTCCTGGGTTCCTCAGCCCAATTTCAGCAAGTTCCACGGTGCTATGGCCTATGTTACCTGGCCAGACTTCACTGAAAGTTTAATTTCATTTCATTCCATTTACCTTTCAGTGGAGTGTAATTGGATCATCACTCAAGCTAGAGACTTGAGCCATTATGAAAGTGGAGAAAGATGCATTAGAAACTGTTGTCTACATCTCTGACTTATACTTGATGCCTGTTTTTGTAAGTTTTAGTCATATATAAACAAACCAAATCTGACTAAGATAGTTCATGCAGTTTGGGGGTTAGGAGGCCTAGTTTGAAAGAGTCATTTGAGTAGTTACTGCATAAACGGTGACAGATGTAGGGTATAAATATTTTCCAGAGACTGCCTGGGATGCATCATCTCCACAGTAATAAATTCCCACTCTCTTACAGAAGATTAATTCACGGAGTAGGGTTTTACTAAGATAGTATGTCATGGTGTCATATCCAGGGGGAAAACTAACCGGAGGATGTCTGAGTCTAAATCATAGGGCAAATTTCTAATACTATCAATCAGTAGGTTACAGGAAAGCCAGCCAGAGGAAGCACCTTAAGATTTGAGACCCCCCCCCAATTACAAAACTGGAGAAAGTGTTTTAGAAGATGCCAAGCTTGGGCAGCTGGGAGTTAGGACTCACCAGAGGTCCAACCCTGGAATGCCCGTTAGTTAGTTGAGAGCAGGCTTTCATAAAACCTTCCTTTCTAGATTCCCTGTCTGCTCAATTGATGAAAGATGTCTGAATCCAATGGAAGGAAAGGGAAAGAAGGCACAGAAGGGAAGAAAAGCTATTTCCACTAGAAATCCAAATCTTACTACCATTCTAACTTCCATAAATACCTGGGATCAAGAAGCAGTTGGTTTCCTATTAAGGCTTATATTGGGAGGAAATTCTTAAAGGGCGTTTGGATCCGGGCCTTCGGTGGGGACTAGGAAACTCAAGACTGGCTGGACCCAGGAATGGTTAATCAGGCAGCGGGGTAATAGGGCCAGCCAGTACCTTTTCGGCTAGCAACATTCAAGGCCCAGCAAACATTAATAGAAAACCTATAACATGAAAGCCAGGAGAGAGATGGTCAGCCAACAAAAGACCTCAAGACCCCAGTAACTCAGTGTGAGCTGGTTCCTCGGAGGCCTGTCATGGCTCTGCCCACCCTGCTCCGGACAGGTAGAGACAGTGAGATCACCGTCAACGAAAAGCAAGGGTCCTTGAGAGAGTCACGGCCAAGTTTACACTCCTTTATGGGGACTGCAATCAAGAAAACAGGTGGAAATCACAGATTTAGGGTTTGCTTTTTTCTAGAAAAACTCAACAATATGCTGTCAATTGGCTATCGCCACTGCTTCACTCAGCTTGCAAGAATAGTTTGACAGTCTTAGGATGTGCAGGCCAGAAGCACTTATTTTTGGTTCGAGACTGCCTCTTAGCTCTCCGAGACTGGCACTCAAAAACTGCTAGCAAGTGGCATTTGGAAGTCTTGGCAGAGCCCTTGCCAGGCTTTTTAGGGTTTTCTCCATGTTGTCAACTTTACTAGTAGCCAGCATGATTCTGCTTGCGGGCCAAGTGATGATCATGCCTCTTCTAAAAGTTAAAAAATTGGGGCTGCAAATTGAATGACCTCTTTCCAGGGGGCATGAAGGCTCGTTGTGGAAGCTTTCCTCCTCCAGCTGTCCCTGAGAACCTTGGTCTATCTCTAGACAGCTGCTCAGGTTGCCCAGCTAAGGCGGTCCACGTCCCCGTGGGGTTCCAAGCCCTGGGCGGGGTCTTTAGTGGTTGCATCTTGCATGAAAGAGCTGATGTTAATCACGTGGAGCGAGCAACCCACGAATGAGCCCATGGTCTTATTTCAGAAGCACATTGAGGGTGTGAACTACTCTTTTACCTTTCTGTACTGCCTTAATTCTTCCAGTCAGTCAGATGACAGTATGTATGTAATCACTACTCGGAGCAACTGGGGAAAGAGTACACAGCACTTGGGCACACATGCATTCGTATAAACATGGAGTCTCCTCTGCAGATAGACGCTCTAGCCTCGTCCTCAATGAAGCTTTCTTTCTTCCCTTATTTTGCCTTGCAATGACTTTCTGGCTGTTCTGATTGTTGAACTCTAACCATGTAATATCGTGTAAAAGCCTGGAAATGACTATTGCTCCAAACTGTCAAGTAGTTTCATGTGATGTAAATCCTTCACATAATTTTCCAAACTTTGCTTTTTTCCCCTCCATTTTCTTTCCTTCCATGGGCATGTATATGTGTAAATATGATTTTGTGTTTGTGACACCGACACGTAATCCATTTCACTGGCTGAGTCTGGCTCGTGCCTGTGTGTTGTACCATGTAGGCCTGGGTTCTCATAGGGGTCATTTCCCTGTGGGACTCCCTAAGGCGGCGCTGGAGTCGTGCACACATTTTAGGTCGGTACATAATTGACTTGCCATTTTATACTTGAAATGGTACATCAGGGTGCTCAAGATGACGTTACCTTGCAGGCTAGAGAAGGTTGAAGACCTAAAACTAACTTTTAGCCAACGGAAGGGCTGTGCCCCCAGGAGAACTGAATTCATTTGCCGAGGGAGGTTTGGATGATGGAGGTATTTTCTGGATGGTCAAGGACTACGGCGTCCGCTGGCTGAGGCCGAGCTCCTCTTACAGGAGTCCACTTGCTGCAATGTTCACAGCCAGTCGAATTACAAGCTGGCTTCTAAACTAAAGGGCTCTGAGCTGTATTCAGATCCATTCAGCATCGGGTCTACTTTTTCAGCCATCACTGTTGAAAGCAGACCCAGTGATCCAGTGTCAGTGCTCTGTCGTGTAAACCGTTCCTTTTTCTTGTGTTTCTGTAAAGGGCTTCTGGCTGGGCTGGACCCAGTTCTCACATATAGAAGATGCTGCTGCAGACAATTAGGACCTTTCCACCTTGTATTCTATAGTAAGGCACTGCCCTCAACATCACCCAATTGTATATGTTATTTGGGGTTTAACACACACTGATTCATACTAATAAATATTGTAAGTTTTACCAAGTTTGTCTTTTTCTTATAATGTTCAGTAGGATCATTTTTTTAAAAAAATCACAATTACCTCAGAATAAAGCATGGTGATTCCCCAGAGATATTTGGGTACCGGTACCTACAAAGACATGTGTAAGGGGTGTTCACTGGCACTGTTTGCAATAGCAAAATGTCTTCCCCTAAGGAAATCAGTAATAAAATGTGGCACAACCACATGATGAAAACTATAGGCCAATTAAAATGAACGCAAGATCTCTCGTGAACCAACCACATATCTCAAAACAGAATGTGGTGTGCAGGGCTACATACTGCACACCCCCAAGGGAGCCACTCTCCTAGTGGCCTGTGTGAACGGAACCTCAGGAGTTAATGCAGTGCACAGCCTGAGCAACAGAGCTGTGGCCTGAACGAGTGAATAAGGCAAGTTAAAGAAGTACAAATGCATACAAATTCACACAAAAACAATCATGTATGTTGTTTGTGAACATGTGTGTGTAGAAATAAAGGAGGAATTAGAAAGCAAAACATCAACTTCATGATAGTCCTCACCTCTGGGGAGGCAGCAAGTAGACAGGATCAGGGAGGGGAACAAAGGACATTTAACTGGCAGTAATTTCTATTAATTTTATGATAGAAAAATCTGAAGCCAAAATGACAAAATGATAGCATTTGGTAATTTCAAGGTATGTGCTTTATTAGTCAATGCATTTTGCTATATTTAGTTATTTGAAAGAGAGGCCATGGAAACAAGAAGCAATGAAGGATGAAGCTGACTTCGTAAATGTGCTAGAAAGAATCGTAAGTGTAATTGCCAACTTAATTCTCTCAGTAAATTTTACGGGGCTGACTTAGGCCCATCCTTTCATCATCCCAGCTGCCCCCGCCTGCCCGCCGACACACACAGACTTCCTCTTCATGCCTGTGCATCTTGTACTTTGTGTGCAAAGCACTGTTTGATGTGTTAGTGGACATGGAGTGCGAAGAGGGAGGAAGGCAGTGCCTCATGTACTCAGCATTCAAGTCCCTCCCTTGCTCTGGGAAGCGGCTTGCTATATGTAATCAAACAAGAAACAAAATAAAAACCACCCTCACCAAGAGACCCGGTGTTCCAGTTTTGTGAGAAAATAAGCCTCTCTTTTGCATTTCCTAGGAAGTGGTTACCCATTTATGGCAATGTGGGGAAATGTTTTAGAACAGCCCAATGGATTGTTGGATTTAGCCAGCAAATGTGCAGCCCAGCCTTCTTTGTCAATAGCATTCTATACAGACGGCCCTGCCTCTCCTGCGTCCATCAGCCCTGCTTCGTCCCAGCCTGGGGGTTTCTTTCACAGGAGCCAGGGTCTGAGGAGTTGTGCACTAAGGCACCTTACACGTTTTTACAAAACAACTGGTTGACTTACGGACTCTGGAGAACAAGGGCAGAAAGTCCTTGGCTTGACCACCGAGGACTGTCTGTGGCTGTTCTAAGTAGTCATTAAACATTTCCTGCTCAGCAAGTGTTGTCCCAAGAGTGAGGCTTGAGGTTAGAAGAGGAGGGAGATCTCATCCTAATTTCATGAGCATCTGTCTCCAGGAGCGTCTTCTCTGAAGTTTTGAGACTACAGCCCCATGTGGTTCTGCTGGCTTCTTGTACGTCCATGAAGCTCCCTCTTCTCCTTCATTCCAGTGTTTATGGAGACACCAGACCGATAATACCAAGCATTGGCAGGCATCCTGAAGATGGGTGCTCTTGTACATGCCTGTCAGAGTGCAAATCCACAGTCTTTCTGGAAAGTGGTTTGATAATGTGTATCTGAGACATTTGAAAAGACTATATCTTATGACCCACGAATCCTGTTTTTCTATTTGTAGGAATTAAGTGTATGTGCTTTTGTGTTTGTGTGTATGTACGTGTGTGTGTATATATGCGTATATATGTATGTGTTATACGTATAACATACATACACATTACCTATTACTGAATACGTATTCATCTAAAACTTAGTGTCTGAAAACCATAAACACCTATATCTTACGGTCTCTGTGGGCAGGATTTGGTAACAGCTTAGCTAGGTGGTTCCGGTGCGAGGTCCTTAACAGGTGAATTGGGGATGTCGGCCGGGGCTGCAACGTCTGAAGCCTTGACTGCCTCCCTCACAGGCCTCTTGGCAGGATGCCCCATTTCCTTGCCAGGGGGGCCATTCCGTACACTGCTCAAGTGACCTCATGTCGTGAGAGCTGGCTAACGCAGATTTATTAATTAGTGAGACGCACATACTAAGGTGTTTGTCCTGGTATCATTTATAATAATGAAAGCATGGGATAATCCAAATAATCTGTGATTGGAAATTAAATAAAAATTAAAAAATAAATTAAATTAAAAATTAAATAAATAAATTATAATAGAACCACAAAATAGAATACCGTAATCATTAAAAATGACAGTATTCAAAATCAGTATACGGCCACCAGAGTCAGAGGTATGAAAATGTACTCTTTTCTTTTTCTGCCATATCTTCATTTCTACCTTGAGCCCCCTTTCTGTGTAATGTGGAAAGCTGGATGTGGTCGCCCAGCTAGTTTGACCTCATCGACTCAGTAGCTTCCATCACTGTGGGCTTCAGTGTACTCTCAGGATCGAACCCTCATTTTCTCCCAGGGGTGGCTGAAGGGGTGGCCAGAAAGCACTGGAGCTTCTGGAGGGCCGCTGTAGTGTTCCTGGGTCTCACTGTCTGGCCCACACAGTGGTCTCTCTCTGTCTCCCTTGTCTTGTGCACCTAGCCCCCTCAACTCTGCTTCTGCACCCCATATAAAGCTTCTGGGAAGATTTTGTATGGAAGCATGAGCTCTTCTGGGGTCCTCAGAGACTGGTAGAGCAACAGCCTGGGCTGGAGTGGGGGGCTCTGTCAGCAGAGGGTTCCCTCTATTGCTGGGGTTCTGTTGCTGGGGTTCCCTGATGATAGCCTGGGGTGGGGTGCAGTTCTCATTCCTCTTTCTGGGAGGCTGGTGGGAAGCTGGTGCTGGGCCCACCTTACTCAGATTGTGTCCGCATGTGAGCTCTCTCCACCTGTCCATTGCTCCCTACCCGTAGCCCAGTGGGTGTAGGAGTGAGGAGAGGCAGGCTATGCTTCATACTATGTTTGTCAGGGCTTGCCTTTTTGAGTTCCAAAATCCTCTGCTTACATGAAGACTTTATTGCCCTGACTGGGGCACTTTTGAGAGTGAAGGGGATGCTGTTAATATCAATCTGGGACAACAGGATGAAGTTGGAGAGTCTCAGGCACGCTAGGACACGTGGTCATTCTGGTCCAGCTTCTGACCTATCTAGCAAGGTGGAAGGTGGCGTTGGAGAGGTGGGGCAGGAAACTCGGGAGTTCCTGGATAAGTATCTCATCACAGCTGTCTTGGTAAAGTCATCCATCCATCCATCCATCCATCCATCCATCCATCCAAGAAGTATTTGTCGAGGGCTACTGTGAGCCAGTGCTGAACGAGCCCTCCATGCTCCATCAGACGTATGCAATTTCCAAGCTTACAAAGGAAGAAACAAATATAAGGGAAAGGACGAAAGAACCAAGAATGGCAGGAATGAGAAGGAGACGTTCCTTTAAGGGTAGAAAGGGCAGCTTGACTGGGAGGGGCCCGGTGACCACAGGGCTAGGAATCAGCCCACCCCTTACTCATTGTAAGATCCTGAATAAGTTCCTTGGTTTCTGTGAGCCTCAGTTTTCACCTGTCAAATGGGGGTAGTGGCCACATCACAGGTTTGATGTCAATATTAAGTGACACTGTTGTATAAGGTGCTTAGTCAGACCACCTCGTGGCCACGGTTAGCCATTGGCTTCGACATTTGCCCTGGATTTGTGAAGTGACCTAGTTGCCACTTTCTTATTTTTCTTCCTTTCCCTGGAGGAATGTGGTATAGAGATTAAGATCAAGAAATCTAGGGGCGCCTGGGTGGCTCAGTCGGTTAAGCGTCTGCCTTCGGCTCAGGGCATGATCCCAGGGTCCTGGGATGGAGCCCCCATGTCAGGCTCCCTGCTCAGGGAGGAGTCTCCTTCTCCCTCTCCCTCTGCCCTTCCCCCAGTTTGTGCTCGTGAGTGCATGCACACATTCTCTCTCAAATAAATAAATAAAATCTTAAAAATAAAAAAAAAAAAGAAATCCAGTGTCAGTCCACCTGAGTCTGACACCGCAGCTCTGTAATTTGCTGGCAGTCGGATGTTTGGCAGATTAATGTCTCTAAGCCCCAGTTTCCTTGTATGCAAAATGCAGAAAATAATTCCTCCCCAGTTCTGGAATCCGAAGAGCTCCATGACTGGAGAGGTTTTTCCTGTGTTTTGCATGGACTCATTTGGAGTAAAACTAGATCTGAGCTGATCCGATGATGTTTACAGTCATTATGTCTCCAACCAGGGGTGAATATCTGCACCGTTAGCTGCAGAAATACTCTAGTGTTTGCTTCTAGGATCCCACCCCTGACTCTGCCGGGTGTCCGTAACAGAGGCACTGCGTTACTTTTATAAAATCCAAACAAAATTCGGAATTCTGCAGACACCTGCTCCCAGGTGTCATCTAAGGTACCAGGAGCTCGTCATAGCACTTCCCTCGCAGGTGTGTCCTGAGGATGGAGGGCGAGCGGGTGCCGAGAGCCCTTCCCACGTGGGAGCTCCAGGCAGCTGCTGTTTATGTGGACGGCAACCCAAACCAAGGCTCCTGAGCGGGGCCGCGCCGCTCTCACCCTGCGGAAAGCACTTCTTATCATCCTGGCACCAACAAAAGTGCAGAACCAGGAACAGCTAACATGAATACAGCCACTTGCTATGTGCCGGGCACTGTCCCAGGCATTTTACAGCACATTGCCTCTTTTTATTTTCACCACCCTCTTTGTTGTTACCCTATTACTCCATCACTAGTATTACATCCATTCTACAGATGAAGAAACCAAGGCACAGGAGGTTAAGTAAATTGCCCAAGACCAGAGATTAGTAAGAGAGACAGAAGGCAAACATTAGCTGCTCTTATTCTTTCCT